TGGGCTATTTTGTACTCAATGTTTTTATTCTAGTTTAGAAAATTTTTAAAGATGTCAAGTGTAGGAATTCTTTTCATGTTTCGGAACTTATAAATAATCATTTTATAACATATAATTATATAGTTGAACGAGATATCATCAACACCGAAAAGAATATTTTCCTCATTACATTCCGGTAGAATTACACCAGTATTAGAAAAATATGTTTTAATTTTCGTGTAAAAATTCTTAGATTCATTACATTCCACAAATAAGTGTCTAGTCGTTTCTTCATGTACAGTACAGAAAGAACAAGATTATTATCTAATAGATTGAAGTGATATAAATTGCGATTTATATATAGCATGTTCAGTTCAGGATTTTATATTGGAAGAAACGTGAATAAGCGTCAATCGAAGTATTATATATTCTATTATAAATAGTTTTCCAGTCTAACGTTTTTTTTATGATTTTGTTGAAGTATTCTTGTGATGTTGGTGCTTTAAAGATTAAAAAAAAAAAAAAATATTGATACAATTGCTTTGTTGACATTTTTTGTAATGATATATTTTTTTCATTAATTGATATGTTAATGTCAATACAAAGCTGTTGACATACCAAAACATCTAGTGATTGGTTATCATTGGCTAGCTTTATTTTAATTATTGATGGCCGCCACGATGAGTCGATGTCATGCGATCTGCAATTAAAATCAACCAGCATTTTATTGACTTGTATCTAATGTTTTACTAGGAATCAACACAAGAACATTCAATTACCTCTGTGTGCTTCGGCACTGGAAATGTATTTCTTTATAAACTAAGTCTTTGTTTATTTTATTTTTATTTTTTTTAGTTTTGTCTTTTTTTAGGGTTTTTGAAGTTTTTATAATAAGTTTGCATGAATGTTCTTCTTCATGGTATTTTTTTGCATCTTCGATTTCGGCAAATGTTGAAAATTTTGTACCAATTTGCAGAATATCCTACACACAAAAAWAAATACAATAAATACATTATATCAATAGATTACATTTTAAATATTAATTATTATACAACTTTTCAGTAAAATCAGACCGTTTTGATTGGTTGGCTTTCGTGTGTTATCAAAGTATAGATACACGGATTACGTCAAAACTAAATGTTTGTTGTATAAAACAGATAGATCTCATTTTTCCGTGCGTGTGTACTCTAATAGATACACAGATTTTTTTGATCTTTTTTCCACATTGGTGGAATAGCATGAGTTAATCCAGCCCATTTTAAGAAGTTTTTTTCTTCAAGACCTTTTTTTTAACGCATTCCCATTTAAAAACGGCATTCTCATTACATAGATCTATGATGTTATTGATACCTAAATCCTTATAAAAAATAGACTTGCCTCCAATCCTTATATTCTTATTATTCCATATGTGTTGATTTAATATCGTGTTGGGATCATCTTCAACGTTAATCGTGTCAGAAATTTCTGACCAAACTATAAGAATATCTCTATAAAAAAGAGGAATATTTTGAGGAATACATTCTTTATTGAAATTGAGCT